AATAACAGTGCTGGTATTGTTGGATCTCAGTGCTGCATTTGACACTGTCGATCACAGCAAACTTCTGGATAGGCTGGAAAACTGGGTTGGGCTGTCTGGGAAGTCCTCAAATGGTTCAGATCTTACCTTGAAGGGAGAGGTTACTATGTCAGTATAGGTGACCATAGGTCGAGGTGGACACCCATGACGTGTGGAGACCCACAAGGTTCGATTCTGGCACCTCTCCTGTTCAACCTTTACATGCTCCCTCTGAGCCAAATAATGAGAAAGAACCAAATCTCCTACCACAGCTATGCTGATGACACTCAGATCTACCTAGCCTTACAGCCTAATGACTACAGCCCCATTGACACCCTCTGCCAATGCATCGATGAAATTAACAATTGGATGTGCCAAAACTTTCTTCAGTTAAACAAAGAGAAAACTGAAGTCACTGCATTTGGGAACAGAGATGAGGTTCTTAAGGTGAATGCGTACCTTGGCTCTAAAGGTCAAACGACAAAAAATAAGGTCAAGAATCTTGGTGTGACTCTGGAGTCAGATCTGAGTTTCAACAGTCATGTCAAAGCAGTCAGTAAATCAGCATACTATCATCTCAAAAATATTGCAAGAATCAGATGCTTTGTTTCCAGTGAAGACTTGCAGCAGAGTGGATTACTGTAACGGCCTCCTCACTGGCCTTCCCAAAAAAGACAGTTAGACAGTTGCAGCTCATCCAGAACGCTGCGGCCAGAATTCTGACCAGAAGCAGGAAATCAGAGCACATCACACCGGTCCTCAGGTCTCTACACTGGCTGCCAGTTACATTCAGAATAGATTTTAAAGTATTATTACTGGTCTATAAATCACTAAATGGCCTAGGACCTCAATACATTACAGATATGCTCACTGAATACAAACCTAACAGTTTACTCAGATCTTTAGGATCATATAAACTAGAAATTCCAAGGGTTCAGTCAAAGCAGGGTGAATCTGCCTTCAGCCACTATGCTCCTCGCTGCTGGAATTAGCTTCCAGAAATGATCAGATGTGCTCCAACATTAGGCACATTCAAATCAAGACTGAAAACATCTGTTTAGCTGTGCCTTTACTGAATGAGCACTGTGCTACGTCTGACAGATTGCACTATTATGTTTTTCATTTTCTTTTTCATTCTTTTGCAACCTATTTTAACTCATTTTAATTTGTTTTTATCTGTTTTTAATAATTTTTATTGTCTGCATTTTATGTTCCTAAATTTGTCTTTTTTATTCCCGTTTATGTAAAGCACTTTGAATTGCCACTGTGTATGAAATGTGCTATATAAATAAACTTGCCTTGCCTATTATACAATAACTTGCCGAATTACCCTAACCTGCCTAGTTAACCTAATTAACCCAGTTAAGTCATTAAATGTCACTTTAAGTTGTATAGAAGTGTCTTGAAAAATATCTAGTCAAATGCTATTTACTGACAAAGATAAAATAAATCAGATTTTAAAAATTAGTTATTAAAACTATTGTTTAGAAATATGTTGAAAAAAAAATCTTCTCTCCGTTAAACAAAAATTGGGGAAAAAAATAAACAGGGGGGCTAATAATTCTAAGTATTTAATAAAACGTAAGTATTTTATGTTTTGTCAGTTTAGTGGCTAATTCGTACGGAAATTTAAAAAGGATCCGTGGCACCAAACCCCACCCCGTTATTGGGTGATGAGCAGATCATACAAAATTGTACGAACTCATACTAATTAGCCACTAAATCAATAAGTTATGAATTGCCGTGAGCTTGAGTTGAATCGAAAAGTTCGGTTCGAAAAGGAGAAAAAAGAGAGGTACAATAAGAGATCATTCAGGAAAAGAAACCATGTGATGCATTTCATATATTAATAAAACAACATTTTGTCATTTTCATTTATGTTTTTTGGTGCCCAAGAGAAGTTCTGTGCATGCCACAGATAATAAAAGTCTGTGTATTTTTGGCAGTGTTTCATATTGCAGTTTGGAAATGTAGCATAAAGCATATTTCAGTGAATATAAAAATGATTTATTGAAGCATGATGATAGAGCTGCTAATAAAGTATTACTATCCTACACTGGACTACATGAAAGTTTAAATTGTGAAGTTAAAATTAATGCTACCTCACATATACGTATATACAGCTGTAGACGCTAATAAAAAGCCTGTGGTATTTTACAAGTGGTCTAAAGGTTTTAATAGACACAGTTCCTCTCATCTCTTGCACATACTGCAGGATGTCCATAAATAAAAAGTGAAAAGACTAGAACAGTTTTATCTTGGCTGGTAATGCATATGCTAACAGTGTTTGTCATGTTAGCAGCAGTTCTGAGGTCAAGCATGCAAACCGTGAGTCATCTGCTAGCCTGCAAACACACACTTATGTACTGTATGGAGGCCTGTAGATGATGAACTGAATCATCTGCATCTGAGATGTACAGGAGCTTGTGGTAAAGAGTGTAATGTTCATCTGATCACAAAATCAGAATAACACAGCATAGGATTGTTTATATCAAATTTGATCAAGCTCAGGAAGTGTAAAATTAGAGTAATGAATTTAAATAAGGCCTGATGTGGTAATGTGCATTCCTATAATCAAAAAGATAACGTGAACACACACACACACACACACACACAAGTTTCTGTGAATTGTTGGGACGTTTAAAGAGCCTTTATTTTGCATTATAAAAGGTCATATTATGGTTGGGGGGGGGGTCTTGGGGGTCTTTAACAACATGGATGCAAGGTCTAAAAACACTTTCATTGTCTTATAATATGCATTTATTTTTTACCTAATTATTCCAATGACTCCCATATTATTCGTTCAGTGATTCATTTGTTCCCAAACCACTCCTTAGCGCGAAGCTAATCTAAGCTGATTGGTCTGATCACCCAGTCTGTTGTGATTGGTCGACTGTGTTCAGTGTGAGACAGAAAGAAACGCCCACCACGACTATGAAGTAGCACACAGAGTATGTGAGAGCCCAATGCAGGAACGCAATCAAGCAATGCAGTTTAACACCAGCACATTACTCTACTCTTAAACCTAACTCCAAGTAATAACAAAGACTTACATTCAGTATTAATCCACACAGTGGCAAAAGTTAAACTATTTTGAAAATTGACGCACTGAAAATGAATCACTCTCACACAAACACACACATGCACTTACAGACACATGCAAGCACACGAACACACAGTCTCTCTCAAATAAACACACATAGTGATACTCTTTCATACAAACCACACACTCACAGCCTCTCTCTCTCTCTCTCTCTCTCACACACACACACACACACACACACACACACACACACACACACACACACACACACACACACACACACACACACACACACAAACGGTTGCACGCATACACACACTCTCTCAGCAGTTTCTGCTGCCCTCACAAGGTGATTTCTAAGATTGCACAACTCCAATGTAAGCTACGGGCTGATATGGCTGCTGTGCACCAAAATAGGAGACATCGCAAACTTTTTTTTTGAATTTATTGAATGGGATAGCCCCTTGAGATGAATCATCTCATTTTCAAGGTGGTCCCTAAAAAGTTCACAAATCAAACAGAGTACAACACATCATAAAGTACATACACTTGAGAAGACAAACAAACAAACAATCAAACAAGCAGCACACTCCACCTGAAACACTTCCCACAATCCGAAGCCTAAATAAGCAACAACATATAATCAAAAGTACAAACAATTTGATATGCAAATAAATAAAAAAACATTTAATTTAATTTGTAGCCAAATTTAATAACATTCGCAAGTTGTTTCCAATCGGAAGGAGCTTTGTATCGAAAGGACCTGCGGCCACTTTCTGTACAAATTCTGGGATTAAAAAAATAATTCTGTTGCACATGACGAAGCGAATATGATGATGTAAATGGAACAAAAAACTGCTTTAAATAAGAAGGGAAATTAAAGTAAACATTTAAAAAGAAACAAATACCAATGATACTGTCTACGGAACTTAGGTTGAAGCAACCAAGTGTTTCGTATAATATACAATGATGCGTTCTATAAGGACATCTTAAAACAAATAGACACAGAGAATTGAAGAAAGCATTTAAAGGTTTTAAATTAATATCAGAGGTATTGTTATAGATAATATCAGCATAATCAATGATAGGAAAGATTAATTGAGAGATCAATTTTTTTCTTACTTTAAATGAAAAACAATTAATAGAACGATAGAGAGAACCTAAGCACCGATATGACTTTTTAATTATAATCAATATGGGGTCAATATGGGGTCAAAATGATCAGCTTTAAAGACCTTTAACTAGAACTGTTAAATGAAAACTGATTTTTCAACAGCCTACGTCAAACAAAAGAAAATGAGTAGGGCGCATTGAAGATTCGACAACAAACAGTTCCTCTGAGATTCTGCCTGACCACATAAAATAAATTGCACAGAGATGTGGTAAATACACATTTCCATTAAGTCAGAATACACAGAGTGAACAGAGAACATATTATCACACCCTTGTAGAAGCTCTATGCTATATATACCATACTTATTCTGCACATAAGTGTTTCTGAAGTGGCATTGGTAAAGCTGCTTGGCATAAGCACATTAGTACAACAGTAGAGTGTGATACAAAAAGCTAAGCTGGGATTAAAAGCAGGTATTTGCCTTTACGCTACATTTAGAGCACAGCCAAAACAAGACTTTGCTCCACTGATTGCCATTAATGTACTGTATGTCAGGTATGCTCTATACTATATGACATATTAAAACAGTTTCATTAAAGGTCCAAACTCAGCACAGACCTATATGAAAATATTCACTCAAAATAGAAACACAATGTACACAGCTAAATGTTAAAGCTTCCCTAAAGTGCACAGCACCACTCAGAACTTTAGTTTCACATGTTGAGATAAATGATTTTAATAATCTATACACTATAAACAGATCTAAAGTTACAGCTTGTTCACACAATGATTGTTCACACAATTTTTTATATAGTAAAAGGCACACTAGATGGAGAAAAAATGATTTAAACAGTGTAAATAAGCCTACCATTGGGGTGAATATAGTTGGTGCACAGGTCGGCACAGACCACAAACAGGTCGGCACAGACCACAAAACATATCCGACCCATTTTAAATCTAAGCAGTATAAACATTTTATTAAGGAGTTAATACACTGAAAAATAATATTCATTGGATTTACACATTTTTTTAGGTAAGTGGCTAGGGTAAGATTTCATTTTGTTTATTTCACAGCTAGAAGCCTCTGAGCCTGATAAAGTTGCATTTGACCATTTTTCACACCCACAGTCTAATAATAATGTATCATTTCTCCTATACTGAAAAAAATAGTTCCATTGGAAATTGCTGCAAGCATTTTATATGAGCTTCATTTAAACAAACAAATTAAATGTATGTTTAACTTAATGACTTTGTTTAAATTCAGCACATATAAATTGGGTGTGAAAATGGTCAAATGCAACTTTATCAGGCTTATATCTGTGAAATAAACAATATGGTGAAAGCTATTTTATCTTATTTTATATAGAAGTGCTGATCACTCTTTCTTCAGTGTTTGACAGCAGAATACACACAGTCTACCCCGATCTCTTCAGATTGGACCTCACACCCCTCATTTTCAGTGGAAATATTAACCGCGGAGTACTGCATGTCAGCTTGATCCTTCAAATAAACACATTATAATTGTTTTTAAGCTTGACGTTTTAATGTAGAGCATAAATATGCAATGTGAAAGCATATGGAATATTTTGTGTATGCTGCATATCTCACATTCAGTCATTCACATGAAGATCTTAGAAAGCAGATATTGACTAAAACTGTACCTGTTCTGTATCTGATTCCTCAGGCTCGCTGGTTGTGTTACCGCTGAAGCAAACATCAATATAATTGTCTGACGGAAAGACAGAAATATGTGATGTTTATTGCTATTACTGTTTTTTTTAATGTAATTAATAACAGATATGAGTTACTTACTATAAAATGTCTGGCACTGCTCTCTAAATATCTGCATGCAAATGAAGTACACATTTACAGCAATAGAAAGCAGTAAGGCTATACAGAGGATAGTGATGACAGGAATATAAATATTTCCATCACAGTAACCTGAGACATAAAAAAAGCAACATTTGTTTAAAATGATGAATTTACAGACATGCAAAAACACTAATTAATACAATGGTGGGCAAAAGACTGAAAAAGTAAAGATGTGAAAACATTTTTTAATACAGTAAATGTAATATGTGCTGTTATGATCAATTACTATTGTGAAAATAGCAACGTTTGTTTAAAGTAAAATATTTGGTAATATCAGAGTGACCCTGAATGAAAAAACCTTCTTACTGTACGTTACAGTTTTTCTCAGTCGCTTTAGTGCATTTCTCACAACACTATTTACATTTGCACAACAGTTAATGCATTTCTCAAAACAATTAGTCATTTGTGCACATCCTAGTAGCAGTTTCTCATTCCTTCTAACACATTGCAGATGCTTTTGGACATGCACCAATTGTTTTCATACAACTCTCTGCTATTTATAACATTATCATTCGCTTTTGTCATGTCAGTCAAAATTAACTAAACTTGTGAATGCTGAATAGTCATTTCATATAAAACTAAGGTCCCACTTTATATTAAGTGGCCTTAACTAATATGTACTTATACAGGAATTAATAGTTTGTTACAATGTACTTATTGTGTAAATACATGTATTTACTGTCTACTTATGCTTGATTAAATACATGTATGTAATTACATCTGTAATTAACTTTTGTAATTACATTTGTAAATACAATGTTGACCATTCCTTACACCTCAACCCACCCTTAAACCTACCCATGCCACCAAACCTGTCCATAACCCAACCTCTATCCCAACTCAAAAGCACCATAAGTGTTCTCAAATACATTATAAACACAGTAAGTACATTGTATTTATTTTTTGAAGTCAGTACATAGTAGTTAAGGACACTTAATATAAAGGGGGACCAAAACTAATAATCCTCATTTCATTACTTGAGGTATTACATACAAAAATGCTGAAATAGTTGTCAAAATCTGTCTAGCAAATTTTATAAAACAAATTTAAATCTTTATTTTCCTGAAAATGTCTTTAAAATTGAACAATTTGATGAATGATTTACAGACCTGTGTGTGTTGTAGGTTCAGTTCCAATGTGTACTGCAATACTGTTTACAGTTGTGCACTACTCTACCTAAAGGGAGTTTATGTTTGTTGTAAATAAGGGTGTGTTTATTATTTTGCACAATGCTGGGAATAAATTAGGATTGCAAAGAGCAAATGCAGTAAAAATGTGAAACATACATATTCAGTGTCTTGTAATAAGATAACTCTAACTCAGTGCAGTGATGTCTAACTTTACTGTGCGAATAATGCTAAATGGCTGTGCGAATAGTATACAGGGCTGTCTTGAGCATTTTCAGGAAGTGTCACCAAAATCAGACTTTTTTTGCATTGAAAAAATGTCGAGAGTAAACTGTCATAATGAAAACATGACTAAGCCATTTGACTATCTTGTTCATAAACAATGGTGTCAGGACTTTTCATTTTGATGATACTGACACTTTGATTGACATGAATACTTGCTTTTGAGGAATGAACTATCCATTTTGAGCATGTGACGCACTTTTGCAGGTTATCAGCTAGGTTTTGCAGTTTGTACTAATTGTTTTGAGAAATGCATTAACTGTTGTGCAAACATGCACTAGTGTTGTGAGAAATGCACCAAAGCGACTGAGAAAAACTGTAATATAAAGCCATATGTTGCATGGGAGTGTATAAGTCCCAAAAATACACTGTATGGATCCAAATTATTTATTTTTCTCTTTTGCCAGGTAAGTAAAGATCATGTTCCATGAAGATAAATTTGTCAATTTCCTAAGGTAACTTATCAAAACTTAATTTTTGATTAGTAATGTACATGGCTAAAATCTTCATTTATTCATTTTTCTTTTGCTTAGTCCAGGGGTGTCCAAATTCGGTCATGGAGGGTCGGTGTCCTGCAAATTTTAGCTCCAACTTGCTTCAACACACATGCAAGGATGTTTCATGAAAGCTTAGTAAGAGGTTATTTAGCTACCCCAGGTGTGCCTGATTGGGGTTGGAACTAAACTTTGCAGGACACCGGCCCTCCAGGACCAAGCTTGGACATGCCTGGCTTAGTCCCTTTATTCATCAGAGGTCGCCATAGTGGAATGAACTGCCAACTAATCCAGCATATGTTTTACACAGCGAATTCCCTTCCAGCTGCAACCCATTACTGGGAAACACCCACATACACTCACATGCACACTCATACAATACAGCCAAGTTTATTCAATTCACTTGGAACACGGAAAGAACATGCAAACTCCACACGGAAATGCCAACTGACCCAGTCGAGGCTCAAAGCAGCGACCTTCCTGCTGTGAGGCAAACGTGCTAAACACTGAGCCACCGTGTCGCCTGGCTAAGAACTTAATTTGTCCAAATTGATTTTTTAAATTCAAATAACAATTTCTTGAACTCTCAGATTCTAGACTTGTAAATAGTGTAGCCAAATATTGCCCTAACGTAAAGTATACATCAGTGGAGAGCTTTTTAATTCAGCTTTTAGGCGATGTCTGGTTTTGTGGTTCAGGGTCACATATCCTAAATGTCTTTGCTCTAAGGTTTTGCCAATTTACTGTGCTTAATAAATAATAGAATTTAAAAAAAAGAGATTTGAACATTTTGAATAATGATATTAATGTTAAAATACTGGGATGAAACGACTTTTATCATCATCAATAGTATTATTTTGAGTATCAACTCAATATATTAGACAAGGGGTTTTCAGGGCCACCACGGGGGCGCCAGCACCTATGAAGGGGGACGCGGGAATTTGAGGCATGCACTTTTTTTATGCGTTCACTAGAGGGAATCTGATTAACTTTAGCTCCACAGCTAACCATCAGACACCTGTAGAGTTAATGGTTTCCAGTAAAACATATCCAAATGAAATGAATCAGCGTGTGATAAAAACGATGAGCCTTCCGACAAAAATGTGCCCTTTACTTTGAAGACGCCACTGACTACGCTTACAAGGACATCAGTTATTTGCCTTAATAAGACAATAATATATTTAAGGTGTTTACGTTATGCGTGTTTTGAATGTTGCGTCACCAGGCTATCCACGTTTCCTGCAGAGTTTCATGAAATTTTGGGTATTTCATCTTTCTTTTTTTGACTTTTACTGCAGTTCGACAGTTTCACTTTTACTCATGAACATTTCACTCATGCTTCCATGAAAAACTGGGGTATTTGACGCAAATATGTGTAAGTGTTCTTTTAATGGAATTTGATACTGCACGAAAAGAAAGAAAAAAACCCGCATTTCGTGATGTGTGTGTGTGTGTGTGTGTGTGTGCGGTCATTTACTGACAGCCGTGTTTGCGGATCTTGTCACAAAATGCGGCGAAAAGTCCAACATGACGGTAACAGTTTGATTGCAGTGTTTACTTCAGTAATGCCACTAATATAAGCAAACTCCACGTCTTAATTCCATTTCTGTTTAGTTCAGTTATGACTTTAGTTGGATTAAGGTAATCAAAAATCGCTGTTTACATCCTAGACTCTTAATCAGAGTATTGTCTTAATCGTATTAAAATCATATTAAAGTATAGTTGCTCATGTAAACATACTCAATGTTGAACTCACCCACACCGTCAGTGCTCTGCGAACTTGGCTTTCCGAAGCAGCATGCTCTATGTAAATCAAAAGCAAGTAGGCTATGGCTCACGCTGACTGACAGTGGAAGAAGATTTACGGTTAGTTGTGTCAGGAATCCAACCACAGATTAGCACGCTGTCCTTACAGAAACAGGCTCAGCCATTACGCTGAATCAGGTAAGCTATATATATTTATGTTTAAATGTAAATAATTCTACGCACTTTAAACGCAGCAAGTAATATGTGAATGATGTTTGCACATGCATTATAATTTTGGCTCGAGTAAGGGGTGCCAGGGGGTGCGAGTGAAATTGGACAATTGTAAAATTGGGGGGGTTGGCGTGTGTCCTAAAAGTAAAAAAAAAAACCTGTATTAGACTGATATTTTAAGAATCACGTGACACCAAAGATGTTGCTGAATGATGCTCATTTTTAAATGTAAATAATATTTCACAATATTACTGTTTTAGCCTTTTTAGGAAACAAACAAATAAATAAAAAAGTTGCTGTTTGCAAACCATGCATGCATAAATGAAACTACTTCTACACATCAGCGATATATGAAAAATAAAAAATGGTAGACATCTAAAAGTAATAAAATAAAATAAAACAAAACACATCCTACCTGTCTCACAACACATCTCAGCATCTATAACAAGACAGGTCTGTCAAGATAAAAAGACCGACAGACAGACATTTTATAAGATAATTGTATAGTTTTATTGATCCTTACCTGGGCTGTGATTATTACCTTCAGCCTGAGAATCTGAAATGAAAAAATTTTGTTTTATAAGAGTGTTTTTCTCATGCACAGAATTTTATTTAATTTATTTTAATTAATTAATTAATTAATTAAATTTTTTTTTTTTTTTTACAAATTTATAACAACATATCTTTAAAATCCAGTGTGTAAATGTTACTCCATACCTTGTGGAATAAAAACACATATGCTTGATATTATAATGATTTGAATATAACAAAATAGTGTCATTATAAATTGGTCAAAAGATTACAAAACCATAACATTGGTACTGTTTTACAATAAACTACAAACTACGGAAATATAGTTCTGCTATTATCAACTGTTATGTGTGCGGCTGAATCATTAATAATGGTTATAAACCATAAATAACAATAACAAGAGTGGTTTTTGAGCTGCAGATCAGCATATTAAAATGATTTATGAAGGATTGTGCATAAGTTTTTCAAATACAAATACATTTCATAATAAATCAACAGATCTTCATATCTGTGTAAACTCAAAACTAACAATAGATTTGAACTCGTTCAAAATAAAGTGGGATGAAGCACAAGCTTAATAAATCTACAAATTCAGCTTTGCATCACCCATAATTCACACAGAAATTTCAAATTCAAAAATTTCCAAACAGTAAAGGGTTATTAAACTTATTTTACAATATTACTTTTTGTAGCAAGTTGATTAAATTAATTTGCTTATTGTAACATTAAAAAATATGACTGTGTCCAAACATATAACTGCAAAAGAACTGTATTCTGTAGTCTGTACTAACCCTAACAGTACGTAACTAAAGATAGATGACAAATAACACTGGCTTGACATATAAAGGGTGAAAGAAAGAAAGAGATAAAAAAGAAAGTGAGAGCAAAAAGAAAAAAAAAGAGAGAAAAAAGAAAGAAAAACATTTAAATTAAATATTTATAATTAAAAATTTCCCTACCTGA